CTTGGATGGTAAGTAGGATGAATTATAAAGTGAGGTATTACCGGAAGATATGTCTTGTGCGATTGGAGTTTATAACTCGGCTTGTCGCCCCAAAATACTAGATTTCATTCAGTCGATTCAAAATTTTAAATCTTATTTATGAGTTGGTTGTATATTTCAATGAAGGTTCTTTCTAGTTAAAATCTTTTCTATGCCAGTTGGAAGCTACGTAAAATATGATGTTTAGAATTAACAGTTAAGGACCCAATTTCCGTAAGCAGTTCTGTTGTTAGTGGTCGCCATGTGACGTAGCAGTGAACTTGGCAATGAACTCGGCTAGACATGAGATGGCGCTGAGGCGTGAAAGTACGGACACCAAGGTTAGTAGAGGAGGTCATTCTAAGGGAATGATATGCAAATTACACTGCACTCTGCTTCCCACAGCAACTTTCTCACTTCTCACTCACTGTTGGTTACTTAACACAATTTCAACTGCAGAACGAAGTTTTTAATGAGAGTGAAAGAAGGAATGCAAATTTTAAGTAGGTAAGGACATGGAAGGAGGTGGTCATTGCCTCTTTAAATATACGATCCCGGGATATGCCTTTAGAGACTGAGGAAAATTCTACAAAGGCTAGAAAAATGTTCTTACATTTATTACAGTTATCTAGATACAAGACTGGACACGAAAAGTCGCTAGAAGTTTGAGAATTTTGAGCAGAGAAATGGTAAGGCCGAATGCAAATTTCTAAGTGTATACTCATAAAAAAAAAGGGACACATCACTTAATACGTCGCATTCCGTCAACTACACAGAACAGTGAAAACCTTAGTTAGTGGTAGATAATGTATACGAGAGATTCAGTTTGATACATATCAAGGTAAAAATGACAAGAACTGACATGATTTCCTTGTTTAAGAGTAGGATTTCTCGTAGAATTAATTACGTCGTCACTGATATTGGTTGAATTAATGTAACACCAAATTCGCATGAAGCCTAAAATGAATTACACACATTTTTTCATCAATGGCTTACATACTGAATACTGGTCGGCCTATTGCATAAAATGTAAATACCTTTATGTTAATTTCTTCTCTCTCGATATCTTGACTTTTTAAGAAAATATATATCTGTTTTTTAAGAAGGGTGTAGCACATATAATATAAGCAATCCAGGTTTAAAAATGTGTTAGACCTATTCAATTATATGCAAATTTCCATACTGTTTATGTGTTCCTTCCATGAAGCGCACAGACTGAACGCATGATAGGAAGGTCATTATGTTCCACATATATGCGCCCTTCTGTACGCTTCTTCTACAAGATATCCCAAAAAGATCAAACGAATATAAATATTCAATAAAAAATGAAATAATGAAATTTTATTACGCTAATTTTTCCATACTTCACAATTGTCACTTAATGAATTACATAATCTATTGTAGACAGTCAAAATGGAAGCTGTGAGCAACTTACTGACAAGAGACCGCCAAAGGTTGAGCTTACATATTTTTGAAACATCCTGTTTGAATCTTCTAGACAGATATAGAGTATATTTTGTAACGGGATTTTAAATGAAAAGTTGAAAAAATTTAATATTGATTAAAATAAGTCCTATCTCAAATTGAACATCATCAGTGCCTCAAAAACCTTTCTGTAAAAATAAATTGGTACATTAAGATTTAATTTTATTGAAGACAATTTCGCTGTAGTTAATTTCACCAAAATTATAAGGAAAATTTATTTATAAGTCTGTTCCATGTCGCATTAGCAGCGCAGTTAACTGTTATTTTGAATCTCTAATAAATGAACATCAGTCCAACGAGATTCGACATTGAATTCGCAATTACAACTGTTGAAAAAGTAAACCTTAATCGAATGGAGTACATCTTGTTTTTTTTTATGGACCACTTGTTTTCAACAGGTGGTTCAATATTGGTCCAGTCACGCATTTGTCGTGACCACAGTTTACACGCAAGTGTTCGTGCCCCTTCAATAAGTTAAGAGCAGCTTTTACTTCACAGAAGTCATATGCCGTTCTGTATTCCGCGCAAGTTGTAAGTAAGTAGGCAGACTCGTGTCTCTGCCACTAACTGTGTTTCGGGAACACTCTTATTTCATTTCATATTCTTTATAGACTGCTCCTTAAGACCTGTTATTGGTAATTCAATGTCAAAAGGAACTTTCATCTGGGAGAAATTTGTATGCACAAGACCTTTCTAAAGGGAAACACCTGATATATGAAGACAGCCATTCATTCTTACTGTCTGTACATGCAAACTACTTTTTTGTGGTACGCATTAGAACACAGGCCTATTTGTTTCTGTCTACTAAATGCGTGCTAAATTCCTTTTAGAAATGTTTTCCTTTGGTCTTGAAGTAGAAACTTTTCGGGTAGGTCTAACTGGTTTCTTATTTATTTACCTTGTATTGCCCGCATTTTAAATAAAAGAAAACACGGAACACATCATTAATCGTACAATAACAAACTTAATGCTGAAGTGTCATTTTAGCAATTATAGTCGCCCAGTTGGGCTAGAAATTCTTCAGTTTCATGGAATATGAAAGTTCATTATTTCGCTAACATGAGAGCCATAGGACTCAGTCGTGCGGTAGATAAATATAACTGACACCTTGTTTTATTATTTTCCAAAAATAAAATTCTATAATACTCTCCCATGAACGATTTAATCTGCCAAAAAACATTTTCTTCATTCATATTTTTCTTTCGAAATGTTGCATGAATTTTAAATCTTTCCCATAAATGGTACATTTACCATCCATTCAATCTTTCCAATAAATATATAATTACATTTGTTCCTTGCATATTTTATTCCTTAGAAATCTAGAGATATAAATAATATTTGTGTAACTGTGTAGCGTCATTACATGCGGTTATATTTAGATGCCGTCCGACAAAACCCGCTGTTGTTTGGACTGAATTAATTAATATTTTTTTGTGTTGAATTCTGTGGTTTAGAACAGCATTTGGCAATGTAAACAGAGAGTACGCGACCAGAATTTAGTCAGTAAAATTACATTAACATTTTTTACGAGAATACAAATAGAAATATGGCGTAGTTATACAGGAATAAGATAACGCAAGAGTAAATCAGTTGTGGATTTCAAAGATGAATAGATGCATATTAATTATTGATGCTGTCTTCTGGGTTGTGAAGTCATGTGGACTTGTAGGCTGGTGTCAGCGTTGCGGAAGAAAAAATTGTTTTCATAATCAGAAATAAATATTAAAAATTTCAGAACTCTAAACTCTAAACAATGGAAAAACTGGATTAGTGCTGGCTCGTTAAATATAATCGGCAGAATCACCATATCAAATCTGTCTGTAAATTAATTAAAATCATGCAACCATATCTAATTTTAAGGTTGCATAAATTCAACGCTTAATAAAACATCTTAAAATAACAGGTCGACAAGGAAGTAAGAACGACAAAATAACAAGAAACATCGATTGATTTAAATTGTAACAAATGGAACGGAGAGTATCATTTATAAAAAAAGTTACCAAAGATGCACTTTCATCGAATTCACAAACAGATGTGATGTCATCTGTTTTGTGCCATGACTAAAGAATGGATGGTTCAAGGAGATTAAAGCGACCAGTCTGTGCGGAAAATTACGATGTCATTGTCTGTCTGCAATGTTTTGTATTTTTACAACAAACTGTTCACTGTTTCTGCTCTTAATTTGCACTATATTACAAAGACCAGTATCCTCTAACAAAACCCCTATTGCATTTAAACAATTAATTTTCAAAGCCGGGATAATTCAGTAAAGTGACCAGGACTGTCTTTGTTATCAGATTTCAATCCCTCTGATGATGGAGGCTGCAAGGGACATTAAGACGTCGGTAAACTTCTACCAGACTAGACGGCGAAACAACCCAGAACGCCATCTTCGGACTCACTGCCGTGAGAATCTCAAATGTCACTCAGTTATATTTACTTTACAGTCTCAGAACCAAATTCACTGAGCCATGTAAACA